TCTCTACAGTTCCCTGACAGGAGGGAGGAGCTGGGGGGGGCTGTCAGGCTCTGCTCCCAGGGAACAAGGGACAGGATGAGAGGAAACAGCCTCAAGTTGTGCCAGGGGAGAGTCAGGTTGGACATCAGGAGGAATTTCTCCATGGAAGGGGTTGTCAGGCATTGGAAGGGGCTGCCCAGGGAGGTTTGGAGTCCCCGTCCCTGGAGGTGTCCAAGGAAGGACTGGAGGTGGCACTCAGAGCTCTGGGCTGGGGGACAAGGTGGGGGATCAGGCACAGGTTGGACTCGATGATCCTGGAGGTCTTTTCCAACCACAGGGATTCTGGGATCCTGTGCTGGCCCCGTGCCCGGAGATCCGTATCGTCGGGGTTCCAAAGCTTTTCCAGAGCATTTCTTTGCTCTTCAAAGCTTGCAGCGTTGACAGGAAATGAGCTTACAAAGTTAATTCTGAGACAAAAGTGCTTTTTTTGTACTGGGATTTCCTGTTTTTGCTTCTATAAACAAAAAATATTCGTCCGTAAGGCCCTGGGTGTGTGGGCAGGAGTTGGTTCCAGTAGCACCAGTGCTGCTGTACTGGCATGTTCCTCCTTAGCATGGATGCAGCTTTCCCTCTGCCTCTGTTGGGATTCTCCCTGTGCAGAATATGCTCTTGGAAGCAGGAATTCCCAGTTCAACTGAGGCAAAACCGGGCTCTGTGACTGATCCCAAGTATTGCAGAGCAAAGGACTCTTTTTCCAGCATCATCCTTTAATAGCTCATCCCGGAAAATGTCATAATTCAGCTCAGGCCCAAGTAAAAATAACCAGGACTTCGGTACATACCAATTTTGCAGAACTCCTTTTAGCAAAGCAGTCAGAGGAGAGCAGATCTTGAGTGTTGCCCTGTAATTACTCCGGGAATGCTGGCAGGAAGCTTCCAGAACTCGCGCAGGAGCGACCTGGAATTTGACGAGCTCCTGTTCTGCTGCAGAAATCACAACGGACGGGAGTGGCTGGGCTATTTTTAAAAGGGGTTTTAAAATTACCCTGCGGGCCCCAGCGCTCCTGGTGTGCACAGAGAGGTCAGGGTGAATTTTGGGACGGAACCTGCGTTAACTCGTGTCACCCAAAGCTTCGCGTTGAGCCTCTGGATCCCCCTCCGTGGCTCTCGGAGCCCTCTGACAGCCGATTTGGGTTCTTGATGCTGAAAAAAACAGGCCGGGGGGTGGAGGTTCCTTGACTTTTCTGTGGTTCCTGCAGGGAGCAGCCTCCTGACAGGCCCGGAGGGGCTGATGGCCAAGGAGAGGGAGAACCTGAAGCGGCTCAAGTGCCTGCGGAGGTACCGGCAGCGCTACGGGGTGGAGGCTCTGCTGCACCGGCAGCTCCGGGAGCGCCGCGTCCTGGCCACCGACGGCGCGGCCCAGCAGGTCTGTGGGGACACCCCGGGGGCGTCTCCCCTCTTGTCTCTTCCCAGGAGTGATGCCGGGCCCCTGACAGATCCCCCCTTCCTGCTGGGACACCGCGGTCTGGTGACCGTCCCCCTGCGCTGGGCGCCTCCAATCCTGGGGTTGGTTTTGGGGCCCTCGCTCCCAAGACGGATGTGGAAGGGCTGGAGTGTGTCCAGAGAAGAGAAGGGAGCTGGGGAAGGGGCTGGAGCACAAGGAGAAGGGTCTGGAGAACTTCTGAGGGAGCTGGGGGTGCTCAGCCAGGAGAGGAGGAGGCTCAAGGGGGACCTTAAGCCCCTTCCAGGGCCTAAAAGGGGCTTGTAAGAAAGAGGGACTTACACGACCAGACAGTGGTAGGGCAAGAGGGAAGAGTTTAAACTAAGAGGTGAGAGATTTAGATGGGATATTGGGCAGAAATTCCTCCCTGGGAGGGTGGGGAGGCCCTGGCAAAGGTTGCCCAGAGAAGCTGTGGCTGCCCCAGCCCTGGAAGTGTCCAAGGCCTGGTTGGACGGGGCTTGGAGCAACCCGGGCTGGTGGAAGGGATCCCTGCCTGTGGCAGGGGGTGGAACAGGAGCTTTAAGGTCCAACATTCCATGATTTCAGGCCCACACCACCCGTTCCAGCCAGCGCTGCTTGGCCTTTGTCGATGACGTCCGATGCTCCAACCCGTCCCTGCCGATGACCCGGCACTGCCTCACACGTATCCTTTGATCCACCTGCCGCTGTCCCTGGCTGTTTGCTGGCCGTTTGCCCTGTCTCTGCCCTTCCTTTTTCCCCCTCCCTGGCCCTAAATCAAGGCCACCGGTTTGCTGTAGCCGTTGGTTTCAAGCAGGAGCCCAGAGGAAACGTCTCCCGGTCTGTTGGCCCTCCCGTCCCATGGAGCAGCCAATTCGTGTGGGAGGGACAAAGGCACGGGCTGGTCCCACCGCAGCCTCCCTGATCCAGGGCATCCAGACAGGGTGGGCAGTTCACTTGGAAGCACCCAGAGAACCCAAGGAGGCCTCAGTTGTGAGGGATGTGTGCGGGAAGGGGTGTCTGACCACCGGAGCGTGTCCTTGGGGATTTTGGGGAGGATCTGGAGGGGTAGTTCTGGGCCTGTTTGGAGCTGCTACTTCCAGCTTGGTCGCTGTGACCCCTTGAAAGGTTCTTTCAACCTTTCAGCCTTGAGCTGTTCCAGTTCCCAAAACTGCCTCAGCTGTTGGAGACCCGGCACTGAAACCTCCTCTGGGATCTCCCAGCTCGGGGATCACCCCCCAACATGGGACCCACGGCCCCAGCACTGCCCTGGGTGCATCTGCTCCATCCACTGAGATCTGTGAGAGCTCACGGGTCTGTGGGAGCTTCTGGATTTGTGGGAGCTCGAGGGTCTGTGGGAGCCCCAAGGTTTTTGGGACCCCCTGGGTTTGTGGAAGCCCCTGGGTTGGTTTTGTCCCCGAAGCTGACCGGCTCACCTCCACCCCCGCGCAGGGAGCAGGAGCTGGAAGCTGCCTTTGTTCCTCTCTAACCACCATATACCTCAAAATAAAGACAGGATAAATCCCATAAAACAGCCGGAGAAGCCGCTGCTGGCAGCTGGTGCTGGGGAGGGCGGGGAGGAGCTCTCAGCTGACTCCCCCTGACACAAACAAGCCTTTCCCATAACATCTGCATCCCGATAACATCTGCAGCCTCTCGGGCTCTCTGTGCTCCCGGGAGCTGGATTGTTTGTGACAGGGCACTGAAGGGGTGGGGAGAGGCTCCAGGTGGGGCCTGGGCTTTTTGGGATCTCGGGGATCTGTGCTTTTGGCTGCCGGTGAAGTCGGTGCTGGAGCTGGGAGTCACTCCAGGAGGTGAAAACCTGCCTTCCCCACCCCTGCTCTCCCCACATCTGCCCTCGGGTGGCTCGGATCCATCTCCACTGGGATGGGCTCCGACGTTGCTGCCAGCCTGGATTAGGGTTCCCCACAACCTGTTAGGAAGTGGATCCATGAGAAATCCTTGTTCAGGGAGGAGAGGAGGGAAGGAGGAATCTCAGGCCTTTAACCCAGCTTAAGAAACTGGGTTAAACTTGGTGACTTTTCCCGGTTTATGTGGGTTTGGGATTTTTTTTCCTCTGCCACGTTGTGGTGTTTGGGGGGGAAACTGCAGCGTGAAGCCCCCAAAGCTGGAGAGCAGCTGAGATTGGAAAGGGGATGGGAGGGGGGTCTGAGGAGGGTGAAGGGGTTGGAAGAAAAGGATGGGGATGGGAAGGGGAAAAAGGGGTTGGAAAAACAGGAAGGGATCAAAAGAGGAGAAAAGAGTGGAAGAGGAGGAAGGGGGGTTGAATGAAGAGGGTGGGGGTCAGAAGAGGAGGAAGAAGTCGGAAGAGAAGAAGGATTGGAGGAGGTGGGGGTCGGAAGAGGATGGGATCAGAGCAGGATGGGGCTGGAGGAGGACGGGATCAGAGCAGGATGGGGTTGGATCCACAGCTCCTCTGCCGCTGGATCGCTCCACAAGTGCGACACAATCAGAGCAGAGCTTCTGTTTGTGATTAAAGGCAGGAAATCCCATTTACACCTCTGGCAGGAACAGGTTTTCCACTGGGAAGGAAAATGCACTGGGAAGATAGAAATACCGGAACTAAACTCCTGGCTGTGGGAGAGGCATTGTGTGTGCTGGGATGTCCCTGCGTGTGGGGCTGGAGCCCATCCCTCCCCGTGGCTGGCTGCAAACAAAAGTTAATCCCGTGCCTTTGTGACATCCACACGAGGATCTGCGAGTGGTTCACAGGGATCCAGCCACATCTCCCAGCCCCCACGGGGAGGCTGTGGCTGTTGTCCCAGTTTTCCATCATGGAAATAACGTCACCCACATCCCTGGGCAGTCGGGATGGAGCTCTGGGGTGTGGATTCTTCATCAGGGAGAAGTGGGGGTGGGGAGGGGGTTAACAGCATTTGATGGGGGGATCAGGAGTTTTATCCCTCTGGATTCGTGCCTGGCTGTACCTGGGCTGCTTTCCTTGACCAGCTCTTCCCAGATATCTGCCAGGACACGAACCAGACGCTGTTCAAGCCGTGCCAGGGCTCCGAGGAGGTGCCCTGCAACAAGCCCGTGCCCGTGAGCCTGTCGGAGGAGCCGTGCTGCCCCCTCCACCTGCGCCTGCCCCCCCAGATGTACATCCCAGAGCAGGGCCTGGCCGTGCCCCAGGAGCTGGGAGCTGCTCCCTCGGAGCTGTACCTGAGCGCGGCCGAGCTCCAGCCCACCGAGAGCCTGCCCCTGGAATTCAGCGATGTAAGTGGAGCCCACAGCCCTCTGCCCTCCTCAGAGAGCCCTCCTGGGATGCTGCATCCGGGTCTGGGATCCTCGGCACGGGGGGGGGAGGACGTGGAGCTGCGGGAGTGAGGGCGGAGGAGGCCGTGGAGGTGCTCCAAGGGCTGGAGCCCCTCTGCCATGGAGATGGGCTGGGAGAGCTGGGAGTGTCCAACCTGGAGAAGGGAAGGCTCTGGGGAGACCTGAGAGCCCCTTCCAGTGCCTGAAGGGGCTCTGAGAGAGATGGAGAGGGGCTTGGGACAAGGGCCTGGAGTGCCAGGACAAGAGGGAATGGTTTCCCACTGCCAGAGGGCAGGGTTAGATGGGATATTGGGAAGAAATCCCTCCCGGTGAGAGTGGTGGGGCCCTGGCACAGGTT